CCATGGAAGAAGCTGAGCAGAAAGAGGCAGAGTTCCAGCAGATGCTGGAACAGCTGAAAAAACAGCAAGAAGAGGCTCAGGTTACTTAATGAGTGGAACACAACTTTTATGTTTTGTCCTGTACATAGAAAAGATGATATGTAAAGTCATGGGTTCATTATATCAAATTTTGTGACTTCCAGCTGTTTGACTCCAGGGTTATGGAGAACTAGAACATTTCAAGATGTCAACATCTAGTAGGCATGAGTATACATATATTCAAAGATATGTACTGATGACCATTGGAGTAGGAAGAAAGTTACCACGTGTCTTCCTTCTTTTGTATCCCGTAATATTGAATGATTTGAGGACAGGAAACTAAAAACTTGGTACATCAAGTCTCCAATAGAAATGTACCTATACAAAAATTAAAACTCCTTGTCCTCAAAAATTGTTCTCCCGAAAAAGAAAACAAAGGAAGCATTGGACCCTAAATATTACTGGTGCCTTTTCCTTAAAAAGGCACTTCTGTCTTGAGGCAAAATTTCAACTAATAGCGCTAAATGAAACTCGGTTCTTCCTATAGTTTCAGAATGAATAAAATATCCCTCCATCAGAAATAAAATATAGTTAATCTTAACATAGTTAATGAAATTTAGCCACAACAAGGGAGGAAACTGGAATACACAGAAATCTTGGAGCAAGAGAATTGCATGCATCACTTCAGCCAGAAGTTATTCATTCATGCTTTTTATTCACCTCTTTGCCCAGGAAGGCTGTATTTTAGTGATTCCCCAGTCCTTTGTGCTCAATACTGTACTTCTCACTATAGCAAAAACGATACAGCGAACTGAACAACTATCTCTCAATTGAGAGGTAGTGGATGAAAGCAAAGACTGGCATTTCAAGTTTGCCATAAGGCTTTCTAAATTGTAGGTCTCCTGGGAGTTCAGAGCAGCGCCCTTGATGGAAAAAGATTTAGCCTGACATACTGAGGTAAATTTAATGAGATCAAGGCTTCATATTCATTTAAACATGCCATGTTATTTGGCAAGTTCCTTTTTCCTTGAAATGTAGGCTTACTATTATAAGCATCAAAGTCACCTGGTTTTTTTAAAAATACCCTATCAATTAACATATCGGTATGATGTATCTTAAATGTACTTAACTTTCAGGCAGCAGCTTTAGCCGCCGCCGCTGGTGAATCGAGAGAATTTAGTGAAATTGGTGGTGTAGGTGGGTTCTCAGAGAGCTCTTCAGCAACATCAAAGTTGAGTTCCAAGAGTGCTAAGGAGAGGAAGAACAGACGGAAAAAGAGAAAACAGAGAGAACAGTCTGAAGGAGATGAAAAAGACGATGAATTTCACAAATCAGAATCAGAGGACAGCATCCGCAGAAAAGGCTTTCGGTTCTCTATTGAAGGGAACAGATTAACCTATGAAAAAAGATTTTCTTCCCCACACCAGGTATGGAGAATATATGTGGGCTAAGTAAATCTGAAAGCTCAATGCATATTTCACTACTGTACTGTGTTTCCCCGAAAATAAGACAGGGTCCAGCTGCCAGCAGAGCATACAACCATAGAGCATACGCCCAGAGTGGCCACTGCCGGAAGACTCGGTTTGGAAGCCGCAGAAAAAGCCATGTGGTGGCGGAGGTGCCCTGACTCTGCAGAGTGAGCTGGGCCATGCATCATGAGACTGGCAGGCGTGTGAGCGAGAGCGGAACAGCCGCTCGCGCAACCCCCCCCCCCCCAGCCATGCAGAGTGCCATTCACTGCCATTTCAAAGGAGCCAGGCGGCAGCGAACAGGCGCTCATGCAGCTTAGCGATACCCCTAGATCAGCGAATGGTGCTGTGCCCGGCTGGAAAGGGGGTTTGCCAGGTAGCTGCTCATGAGTGTGGTCACATAATAGCTGCTCTGCTGCTTTGCTGTGACAGCGCAACACATCCATTCGCCCATGAGGCTGTGCCCGGCTCTTTGGGAGCAGCCGCCCGGCAACCCCCCTCTTCAGCTAGGCACAGAGCCACTCACCAACCTAGCGGTATCCCGAAGGCGCTAAGCAACGCAATCACCTTTGCCTTCCCCCCTGGTTCCCATGGCTTGGCACCTTTGGGATACCGCTAGGTTGATGAGCGGTGCTCTGTCTGGCAAGAGGTGGGGGGTTGTCCAGGGGGCTTATTTACGGGGGAGGGCTTATATTTTTGCCCACCAGAAAAATGTGGCATAGCCTTATTATGAGGAAACACGAGGAAACACGGTTGGAGTTTGGATCACTTTATGGGCTATGCCTCAATTAAATCCTAGGTTTCTTATTTCCCTTTTTCTTTTCATGGGTCTTCTTAGTTGGTTACTTTTTGGTATGTAATTGTGCAGAATTAGAATTCATTGCTATGTTTTATATCAATTTCTGTGCAAGCCTCAAGAAAAAAAAACTTACTGAGTAAAATGTAAAGCAATTCTTTGAGGTACGCCTTAAATGAGAAGAATATGCCTCAATCTCCTGTCAATTTTTGCCATTCTTGTTTGTGTTCCTCTAGCCTTATTTCCTGCTTGTTTAAAAGAAGAGAATAGCAAGGCAGCAGCTGCAAAGAGAAGGAACAGTGAATGCTAGAGAGCTCCAGGAATGACCAGTGGCCTCTTAAAAGGGGTTGGGGGGCTTGGCTGGTTCAACAAAATACCAACCTTTGGTTTGCACAATAAAGCAAATGCCAAGAAGAGGCAAGCAAGGATAAGTCAGGGTTTTACTAATTTTATTTTTCACATTTCTGAACCACCCATCTCCCTCAAAGAAGAATCCATTATGATTTATTATATATAGAATGTAAAGCCAAGAGAAATAGTGGCACTAATTCAGAAAGTATTTAATAAATATTTATTTAATATTTAAAAAATAAAAATGGATGTTGTTCCTGTACTCTTGAGAGACACCAAAATATCTGTGTTCATTCATTTCCTTATATTTAAGAAGGATCTTTAATTTTCCCATCGTCTTTCAACCTGTTTATGGATGTTTCTGATCTTGCATTCCCTTACAGTCTTTGCTGAGCATCCGCGGATCGCTGTTTTCCCCCAGGCGCAGCAGCAAAACGAGCCTCTTCAGCTTCAGAGGCCGAGCAAAGGATTTTGGATCGGAGAATGATTTTGCTGACGATGAGCACAGCACTTTTGAAGACAACGAGAGTAGGAGAGATTCCCTCTTTGTTCCTCACCGGCACAGTGAGCGTCGCAACAGTACCATCAGTCAGGCCAGCCGATCATCTAGGGTGATGCCTATCCTTCCAGCAAATGGGAAGATGCACAGCACTGTGGACTGCAATGGGGTGGTTTCCTTAGTTGGTGGGCCTCCTCCTCTTATGTCACCCACTGGGCAGCTTCTTCCTGAGGTAATAAGAGATCTGAACAATTATCTTGGCTCAAGGACTAGGCCAAACTTTGCCTAGCATGTGAAGAAGTTTGGCTAATTTTGACAGGGAGGTGCTTTCGGGAATTTTAAGGGATGGAATGGGTTCTTTATGCACCTGCAATACTTAAGGCATTCATTTGGTCTGTTAAATTAAAGAGCCGAGACGGCACAGTGGTTACAGTGAAGTACTGCAGGCTACTTCAGCTGACTGCTAGCTGCAGTTCAGCAGTTCAAATCTCACCAGGCTCAAGGTTGACTCAGCCTTCCATCCTTTCGAGGTGGGTAAAATGAGGACCCAGAGTGTTGGGGGCAATAGGCTGACTCTGTAAACCAGTTAGAGAGGGCTGTAAAAACACTATGAAGCGGTATGTAAGTGCTATTGCTATTGCTAAATTCCTCCAAGCTTGCGAAAAAGCAGAAAAGGGGGATCAGAAATCCCAAAAGGGTTGGTGGTAGATTTCTGCAATGGACAAAACAGCATTGATTTGAAACTTAAATTCAGATCTACATGCACTTTGGCATCATAGCAATTTAAACTAGAAATGCACTTGGCTACTATACTCGCATGTAAATTAAAATAAACTTTAAAAAAGCACCTCAAATAGACTTTCAGAAGAATGCAGTATCCTGTTAAACAGCATTGATCCTGTTAAGCTAAATTGCAGAGCTTTCCTATAATAAGGAATCTAGCATAGAAAAAATATTGATCATAGGGTGAACTCAAGAGAATTTTCTTTCAGCTTTTTGAAAAGAGTCATATCATCCCAGGTTATTCCAGCTGTATTCTGTAAACACTGGGTGGTTTCAGGTGTTCTGCTTCTCTGCCAATGAGGTTTTGTGTGGATGTACTTCTACTGTTTTTATTATTTTGGGGAAAAGGAATACTGTTTGCCTTTTACATTCCGCCAGGAGTGGGTTGCTGCTAACATTACTTCCGGTTCGCAACACATGTGCAACATGTGCATGCATGCGCCAGATGTGCGCTGTGCGCACATGCACTCTTCAATGTAAATTGTTCTGCATACATGCCAAAACAATGTACAGTGAACTGCGCATGTGCAGTCACTAAAATCCAAAATGGCAGCAGCCAAGTAGCAGTGAGGGAACCGGTTCAGGGGCGTGGCAGGCCTGGGTTGCTGCCGGTTCTGCGACCCAGGCCTGAATACCACTACCGGTTTGGCCAAACCAGGCCGAACCGGCTGCAACCCACCTCTGCATTCCACCTCCTCTTTCATTCTGGGTGTTGCCATCTCTAAGGACAGGACTTAATTTGTCAATACTGCCATTTTCTTGCAGTCCTAGTTTACCTGGAGGTTGTTATCAATCTCCGTGTCTAACATCCCCCTACACTCAGGGTTTAATGCTTTTTCAGAAGACTGCTAGATTCACATTCAGAAATAGCCCAAGTGACAAAGCCAAGCCCAGAGCAACTGCAAACTATTAGGCAATTTGATTGGTAGCTCAGTGTCCTATTCCAGGCTCCTGCTCCACTTTAGGGGGAATGGTTGCTGATAGCTTCTGTACTGTAAAACAGTGTTTGGTAGGATGAGAAATGAAGGTAGGGAAATTGACCAATTGCTTTCCTAAACCTACCTTTCATCAAAACAGTAAGAGCAACATTTATCACCAGCCATTTTACTTTGGCAAAATAGAGCTTGACAATTGAGACAGCAAATTTTATTCAGATATAATTTTTCTGGCAACTCAGAGGCCAGTGATTAGTTCCTTAATGTGGCCATCTGACTAGGCATATAGACTGAGGAGATTGAAAACATATAGTTTAAATAGAGGAATTTTGTTTCATTGTGTTCCTGTTCAATTTTTCAATGGTTGTAAGCACAACTTGGAACACTGTGTTAACATGAGCAGTGCTTCAGCAGTTTGTCATGTAACTAAATCAAAGAAACATTAACATTAAAGGGCAACGGAGATCTAGAACTCTCTTGAAGTGAGATTAAGACATTCAATATTTCTCCCTAAAGGATACCAGTCAGTAGCCATCTTTGTTTTTAGTCCAGAAGAAAAACACTGTTGTTGTTGTTGATGATGATGCATTGCTCTGATGGGAATGTTCTCATTTTAAAAAAAAATGTTCCTAAAGACAGAAAATTAGGCTGAGAATACTGTATTTAACTCAAGGGCAGTGTCAGAGCAATGCTGCTTCTTCATAATGTGTCATTCCAACTGCTTCTGATTTTTAAAAAAAAATGAAAATCCAGGCTGCACAAATTCAAATGGCCACTAAATGGCAGCAAAAATGCAGAAAAGGGACCCTTTGCTGTCATGTCCAGATTGTGCAGATTTATATAAAGTAGATCTACCAAGTAGTAGCTGTTGGCATTAGCAACAGTTGCTAGAAAGGATAATGATGCTGACCAGTGAGCTTCATACCAGACTTTTGTTTCTCTGCTCTGAAAAAAGCCTCTCCTCATTTTCATACTATAAAAACAGGGTGGAGACATGAAAAGGGGGAAATTATAAGCCTAGTGCGCAATAAATTTGAGCATTATAAATGGAAGTTGATGTAACTTTTTATTTGTATGCAAATATAATTAACTAAACCCTTAAAATCCTTAGATAAATCCTTAAGGCATCTTTAAATGGATTGCTTCCTTAATTAGGAATATTTGAGCTGAAGGAATCCAGATGACAGATGGCTACAGAGCGTTAATATTTTCAGTAACTACTTCTGGGCAAACTTTTGCAAACAAGGATTGAGCCAAGATGCACCAAGCTTGATAATAGAAATGATTGTTCAAGCCAAATTATCTCTCTGACTCACTTTTTATGTGTGGAAACTGTATCAAAGAATTGAATATTGCTACCTTTAGTATTCTGTTCGGTTTTGTTTAGTAGTCTATTTCTACAAGTCAAAGAATAACCATATTCTTCCAATTCATATATCCTATACTTTCAGGGTACCACCACAGAAACAGAACTAAGAAAAAGACGCTCCAGTTCCTACCACATGTCAATGGATTTTCTCTCAGATCCTACTGCAAGGCAAAGAGCAATGAGTATAGCTAGCATACTTACCAACACAATGGAAGGTAAGCATCCCATGTAAACAACGCTTCTAAAATTCAGATGGCAAAAGCTGAATTTCCATTTTAAAAACAAACATCTTCATATTCATTAATTTAAATGTTATTAATTTGTTGATGGCTGTTGATTTTTGTTTTCCCAATATAAACTGTTTCTTTATTACCAGTACAGTATAATGTTAAGACCTAAAAATTTTTTTTAATAAAGACACCAGATTTGTTCTTCTAGGAGAAAATTCTAAATATTCTAATCTTCTGGATTATTTAGTTCAAAGAGCCAGTCAAATGGAGCAGAACAGTGCTTCTTTTTTGCTTTCAGTTTTCTCTGTTTAACTCGGATTTTCATGCTGCAACAATTTCTTCAGATAAAACAGGGTTCTAATTAGATCTTCCCTACTCCAGTTTTTCATAATGTTCAAATGCAAACGTAACAGCAAAGCACAGGTTACCGCGAATATAAATATGATTTGCAAATCACATTTCTGTGATTTGGCACAGATTCAGGCATAACACCAACCATGGGTTGGGTATGTGGTGTCAGATCAGAGTGTAGTCCTATTTCCTAAATGCCAATTGAAACTCTTAACTACAGTTGGCCTTTTGCCAGAAATGATATGTCTTGTTTCAACAAAGATGTCTGCAATTTACCTTGATAAGGGGGTTCCTGTTGCCTCATCACGTCAGTGTAATCTTTTACCTCTTCCTCCTCTTTGCCTCATCCTGCACTTGCAAAAACTAGAAGAGGGGTCAGGATAGATAGATAGAAGCTCCTTTGACACTTCCATGTACAGAATCCTCTTTCATAGTCTGAAAGGGTTCCACCACAAAACCGCGTTCGACTAAAGGGCGCTCGATGAAACCGCGTAGCTGATGTCATCACAGCGCGACAACAGTGCGGAGAAAAAAGCACGCTGTAAACACTAAGCCTAAAATTAACCCCTAAACCTACACCTAACCCCCCTAAACCTAATCCTAAACCTAACCCTAACCCTAACCCTTAACCTAACCCTAAACCTAAACCTAACCCTAAACCTAAA